CCCCCCCCCCTTTTGTTTTCACGCTTCCACCCTCTCCCTTTTCTTGCGAGTCTGGCTTTTTAAACTTTTCAGGGGGAGGGGAGCCTCCATGGTCGCTGGGAGAGAGAGAATTTACACCCACCCAGCCAGGGGAGTTTGTGAGAGCAGAAGCAGTCCCTCCTTTCCAAAGGCCACAGGGCGGGCATCTTGCGCGTGGCACCCTCAGGAACGGCTGGCCTTCACGTGGCGCTTTCACGGCGAGAAGGAAAGGGTCCCTGACGGAGGGAGCCGTGAGCCTGCCTTCCTCTGTTTCAGGGTGGGTGCTCCAAAAAAAATCCCAGTGCCTTCCTAGCACAGTTTGAAGGGAGATGCCATCGCGGTCCACCTCTTTCTCATCCGCTGGAAGACGCAGCAGCCAAGGCCTCGCCGACCCGTCCACACCTTGGACAGGGGCTCCCAGGAACCTAAAAGAGGGTTTGTTTTGTGGAAATGAAGCCTCTCCTCCCCCCCCCAGCGCAGAATGGCTTGTGGGGCAGCTGAAGAGGCACATCTGGGTGGGGATGACGTCTAGCAGGTTGGACAGGCGGGGAGGATTGGCTTGCTTGCTGTAACAGCCTGTAGCGCTCAGGACCCTCTCCAAGGTGGGCTAGACTACAACTCCCATAATCCCCCTGACCGGCTTATTGGGGGGAGTGTAATCCAAGTGCCGCTGGCGGGTGGCCAGGTGAGGGAAGATCCCGGCAAATCTGGCTTCCAAGGCGAAAGGTGGTGGCCGACAACTGGAAATCCCAAAGAAGGGGTGGGGATGGGAGTTGGAAAGGATTATCCATGGTGGCCGTTTTCTTTTAGCTTTAAAAAAAGGGGGTGGTGGTTATGAGACTGGAGAAAGGGGGGGGACTTTTTGTTTTTGAAAAAGAACTATCCTAAGAAAAGTGCACAGCATGTTCCCAAATGTGTCCCCCCCCCCAATTGTTAAAGAGTTGGACAAGAAAATGCATGAGTGCCTCCCTCAACTCCCTTCTGGTCCAAAAGCTCCTCCTTTGCTCTCCTCTCCTCCTAGATCATGGGGACCCCTTCCCCTGTTCCTCCCGTGCGCAGCCTCACCTGACGTGGGGTGGATCTCTCCCCGGGCATCCCCCCCCTCGCCTAAAATTAGGGCCTGGCTTTCAGTGATCGTCAAAGCCACCAGGGCAGACGAACGGTGCGGGCCTTCCCGTAATGCGTAAGGCGCAAAAGATATGGGGGGGAACCCTAGCTTTCAAGAGCGTCGGGTAGATGTTTCGATGACGCTGTTGTGGGGGGGGGGGAACCCTGGCTTTCAAGGGCATTGGGTAGATGCTTCGATGACGCTGTTTGGGCCACCGGTCAGTGGCGACCAGCCAGAATCCGGTCGGATTTCGGCATCCGGAGGGCAGACGCAAGAGGTGGTGGGCTTCTGTGTAGGTTTTCGAGAGAGATGAATTTAGCAATTGCAGGAACCAAGGCATTGAACCAAGCCACCCCTCTCCGGAGGTGTTCTTGGCCAAAAGAAGCTGAGTTAAGGATGGGTTTTCCCCGGTGGGGGGGGAATGCATGCAGCCAGGGTCTTGCACCGTTTCCCCGTTCTTGCATTTCAAGAGCTCCTGTGCTCAGCATCTTCCCGGCCCCTCCGCGATGGACCGTTTCTTGGGCCCCTTGCGGAGCTGAGCTGAGTCTAGGTCCTCTTACGTTTCACAACGACCTCTGATAAACCCGCTTCCATTTTGGACAACAAGTCCCCGGATCCCCCACCAACGTAGCCATGGGCCATGCCGGCTGGGGGATGATGGGAGCTGGACTCCAAAGAGGAACGTCTAAAGATCCACATGTATTTCTTTCTGCCAATTCTGTTTCCCCTGAGATAACTCCACACGCCCCATCCTGCCAGTTTCTGTCTTCGCGTGTGTTTTCTTCTGCAGCATTTCCCCCTTTTCTTCTTGGGGTGCAACCTTTGGGGAGGGGTGGCAGCTGGTCCCGAACTACCTTTAGAACCCGAGACAAGGGTGGAAACAGGTTAAAAAGTTTCCAGCTGCCAAGAAGAACAGAGACTATGTTTTTTGGAAGGACCCTGAGCGTCTGTCACCATTCCTGGCAGAAGAATAAATATTTGGCAGAGTTGCACCTTTAGGAGGTTTCAATCCAAAATGTAGACACAGCACCCCGAAACGTGTCGTCTTCTCCCGGGAAGAGGGGAACCCCCCTTTCCCACCGCCCTCTGTGACGCGGGGGGGGGGATCTGACAGCAGGCTACAGTGTTAAGTGTTGTTGCTCTTGCTGAGGCTGAACAGGTCAGCTAGGATCCGGTGAATTAAAACCCGCAACCGATCCATATCAGTAGCTGGATGGAGCGGCAGGAATGTCCCGACACTCCCTCAAGCTGTGGGGCCAGAAACCTGTATCCGGCCAAACACCCAGTCCTACAGGAGGCCACCCACCCAATCCCCCACCTTAGTGAAATTCCCCCATGTCCACACCCACAGTACTGATCGATCTTTCTTTCCTGACCCTTTAGAAGATGTAGCTTGGCTTGCTTGCATGAGTCATCTATTTACTATTGGAGGCACCCTTTCTTTTTCGCCGCATGGCGTGCCTTCTCTCTGCTTGTTGCACATGCGTGTGGTCTGGACTGGCTTTGGCTGATCTGTAGCGAGGGCTGGCGGGTTGTGGGGCTCCCCTTAAGAAGACTCTGTGGCCCCGTTTTGGTGTACTGTTGCCCCAACTCTGAGAGTCCTTCCTCCCTGACTATCTTTAATCCTTCCTTCCATCACCAGTTCCTTCCTTCCTTCATCATCTCCTTCCTGCATTTCTCCCTGACTATCTTTAATCCTTCCTTTCTTCCTTCTATCCATCATCAGCTCCTTCCTTCTTTCCTTCCACCTACATAGACAGACTGGCTCATATCCTATTCTGCAACATATATCCAACTCATCTCCCTTCCCAGAAAGCGTTTTGATCTCCCTGGAAGCATTTTATCCTCGGTTTGGTTTTCACCCGTCTTTTCAGTTGCAGCCGAGAAAATTGCACTTGACATTGGCCGAGTCCAGGAAGGCAGAGGAAAAGTGACTCCGTTTTTTATTTTTGTTTTCTTAAAGCATGTTGATCTTCACTTTGTCTGGCTTTCTCTTTCTGTGCTGCCTTTGTTCATTTCTTGTGCCTCTGCCCTTCGTTCTGGGAGATTTTATTTCTTCATTTTTATTTCTCTTTTTTTAAAATTTTTTGGAAATGTTCTGGTGGAGGGAAAGACAAAGGAGAAGTTGACGTATGAGTGGAAGTCAAACTTGGAGCGGAATGGGTTGGGACGCCTTTTGGTCTTAAGCCATTCTGAGACTCCATCTAACTCTGCAACCTTTCAAGTTGGTTTCCTTTTTTTAAAAAAAAAAAGACAAAATATAACTAAACATTGAAAAGTCATTACTTTATAAGGAAGCCAAACAAAACTAAAGAGATTAATTTCAACTTCTAACATAAAAATTGTCTCAAACATCTTCAGTTCTAGGAAATAAAAAGATCAAATATCTCACCCACCAGCTGCTGAATAACTCTCTCAACCAAGGCAGAAAAACTCATGTCTTCAGTATCAAAATGTACGTGCCAAGGAGCGGAAAGCAGTTCTGACATTGGTCGCACCTCCAGCAGAGAGGTGCCCACCACGCCTTACACGATTGCCAAATGCCGCCCGCCGGTCCACCCGGCCGAGTCCCTCTTCACCCCGATGCACCCCGAAAGCATCAAGTGCACTATCTAGGATCCGTCCACCAGCGGAGAAGAAGCACAGGTCCTTTTGTCTGGAAATCCAAGATGGCAGCCAGGGCATGTGTGGGCCTCCCACCCAGCGTGGCCGTCCACGGGGAGCAACATGCCGCTGCCGAGGTTGCGATTC